CACGCCGGCGGGAGGAGCGCGCCCCAGGTTGGGAGCCGCGTCCCACGGCAGCCGCGGTCCTGCGCGAGCTGAGCCGAGCGAGCCGAGCGAGCCGAGCGAGCCGTGCGGTCTCCCAGGTAATGGCTTCCTGCGTGGGGGGCAGCGGCTCGGCGCGAGTCTGGCGTGGCCGGTCGGCCGGCTGGGACTGTGCGGCGTCCTCGTCTTCACGGGTGGGCGCGGGCTGGCTTCGCGCAGAGCGTGCTCGAAAAAGAAAACCCTCGGTGTCCTACTCGTTGCTAGACATGCCTTCCCGAGCAGGAGTGGCCGCGTGGCAGGGCTCTGATGCGGATAGTTCCGTGGACGTGGGAGTGGGCTTGCTGGATTACAAAGAGCCTTGGAGAGAGGTGGTCCGACGTGAGCCCGATGCGAGCGTGCCGCGGCTGCTTGCTGTCGGCTCTGCGCCCCCGGCTTCTCCAGCCCGGCTTCTCCCGGCTGGGAGCTCCCGGAGCCTCCGCCCTCCCGGGGACGGGTCTGGGTCAGGGTCTGGGTCAGGGTCTGCGACAGGGTCTGGGTCAGGGTCTGCGACTGGGTCTGGGTCTGGGTCTGGGTCTGGGGCCGCGGCTGCCGCTCCCAGTCTCCGCGCCTCGTGTGCTCCCCAGGTACTCCTTCCCCTTAAAGCTCCGATTCGCTTTCTCTGGGGGCTGGAGTGACTTTTAAGCCAGAAGCTGGGGATCGTGTGCCCATCCCGAGTGGAGAGGCGCAGTGTGGCGCACCGCGGCGGAATTCGGTCCTCGCGCGGTGACACAGCCTGCGGCTCCGGAGGAATTTCACGCCGCGGCCCTGGCTGCCTCCAGCGGACTCGCCCTGCTGTGAGGATCTAGCCTAGCACATCGGAACTTTCCTGGGTTGGCTTTAAAAATAACTTTGAAAACATTATTTTTTAGAGTATTTTCTAGGTAACAATAAAAAGGCCAGGGCATTTTACATCCGAATCAGTCCAAATGAGCTTCTTTTCCAGTAGGGTTTGGATCTGAAGAGGTGGAGTGGGAGGGAGAGACAAGAGGAGGACAAAATTAGACCAATTTAACAGACTTATAAGGAAATCATACTATTTTTTGTTGTTATTTGTTTGAAATTGCAAATTCTAACCGTCCCATTCCTGGATGTGCAAGGTGCTTTGAGCAGGGCGCAGGAAGACCCCAGTTCATCTTAGGGAAGTGGGAGACGGGATAGCAAGGGGACCTTGGCATGTTGTGGTGGATGGCATTTATCCGGTCTGGGGCCACATCCCCGTGGACGCAGGGAAGGGCTGGGAAGAAAGGGGCGATTGCTGTCTCTCCCGAGGAGCAGAACGCTGCCCGCTTGTGCCTGCACACAGGAATTACGTGTGGAGGGTTAATGCCAAAGCCTCCAGAATCTGTTATTACTGCTTTAATAGAGTTGTTCCTAAAAAGAGGCTCCGAAAACACACAGGTACTTCTCAGAGGCTGCGGCAGAGCGTTTCAGCAGAAGAAGGCAAGGGCGGCTCTCCACCCTCCCTGTGGATCCGATCGTTCTCTGCGCGCCGCTCTGAAGCCTCGCTTCACTAGAAACGGATTACTTCAGCGGTGCACGACGCACATCTTACTAAACAGTTAAAATGTTTGAAAAATAACGGGGGTTCTTTTATCAGAAAGAAATTGTACCGTGATGATAGAAATATATTATTCGTTCTTCTTATTTTGGTGCCATGGTGGAGATACTGAAAATTAACCTACTGATTTTGAGGCAAAACCATCATTTCCCCCAAATGAATGCCATGCATTTCTGTACCTAAGAATTTCTTTGTGGCAAAGAAGAGCAGTTGATTGCCTCAGGGGAGGGATTGCCTGGTGATTTTGAGAGAAAAAGTGCGGGCCTGTAAGTTTTAGCTGTGCCTGTGTCTCCTTCCTGTTGTCACGCAGGAGGGGACTGGCTCTGCCCACAGATCATCCATCTATCTCTCTGGTCGCAGTATTGGCTGTGGACAGATGTCTCTTTCAGGGTTGAACTGATTTCTGTGATATTAATTGGTTTTGACTATAATTTCTCCAGGAAAACAGCTGTCCTTAATCAAAAGAGAAGATGATGGTTTTGTGTTGTTAAATTGCTGATGTTCTTTTGGAAGTTAAATTTACTGACGCATGCATTTTAAGCATGAGATTAAATTTTTTAATTGCTTTCAAGCAGTGTTTTTGTTTCAGTCGTGTGACACTCCAGTCTCTTCTTACTGACCAGGTAAGAAGTCTTTTAAAGTGCTTGGAATAAATACTCACTTTGCTGTCACCACTGTAAATTCTAAAAAGAGAGTCCCTGTGGCTCTGTCTTTAACGCAGCAAAGTATTGTTATAGAGCAGTACTGTCCAGTGGAAGGAATATGTGTGAGCCACATGCATACTTTAAAATGTCCTGTGAGTCACACAAGAAAAATAAAAGGAACAGGTGAGATTAATTTTAAGAATATATTTTCTTTCTTCCTTTTTTTTTTTTTTTTGTCTTTTTAAGACAAGGTTTTGATATGTAGTTCAGGCTGGCGCAGGTCGTGAGTTCAACTCCTGGTACAAATAAATAAATAAATACTAAAATGTTAGGAGCCACTGCCAACTAAATATTCCCCAAAATGAATACACAAATAAGTGTCAAGTTGATATGAGGCATGTGTCCTTCCCTTCTTTGCCATTAACTAGTTGTGTAAACTTGAACTTGTTATTTACCTTTTTATCAGCCAGACAAAGGACAGAACCAAATATTCCCGTTGCTCTGTGAAGAGTAAACTGGTGGATCCAATTTGCTTGCAGATTGGAGCGCTGTATCCTGCCCCTTATTATCTCCACCCCAGTACTTGGAGACTGAGATCAGCAGCAGAGCCCTGCTCCATCAGAACGTTTTACCAGGGGGGTAGCAGCAAGCGTACTGTAAAACCAATAAGCAGCTAGCGGGTCGTGATTTACCATGTGGTTGGATGTGGTCCACAGATCTTTAATAATATCCATTACCGATACAAGTCTTTTCAGGCTCTATTTTTTGTGACACTACTATATAAAAGTTTTGTGAGATGTAATGCTTTATCATAGACCCATAAATACTACATTGTTGAAACCCAGACATAAATAAGTTTATTTAGGATTTTTTTTGGTCTTTTTTGAGACAGGGTCTCCCTATATAGTTCAGGCTGGCCTGTAGCTCACTTTGTGCCCAGGCTGGTCTCCAATTTACAAGGATCTTCCTGCCTCAGCCTCCCGAGTGCTGGGATTACAGATGTGCACTACCATGCCCGGTTTTGAATGGGTTTAATGAAAAGATGTCAGGTGCTTCACCCAGACTGGGTGGGAAGGCGTGCGGGGCAGAGGGCACCATTTCCATCGAGCTGCCCTGAACATGCAGTGGGAGAGTAAAAGAGAACAGTGTTGTGGCTGAAGAAATTTCAGGCAATATTTTTTTAATGCAGGAACTTTCCCTGAGGGCTTTCCACAATAAACACACACACACATACCCCTCACACAAATACATGACACACCACATGCACACCTCACGGCTACCACACATGTCCTTCTTCAACTTCTCCAGAAGGGTCCAGGTGCTTATTAGGGCTCAAAGGAGTCCTTGGAGGTAGAGGAAAGGAGGTTTTTCTTTCTTTTTAATCCTTAGATTCTTTTTTTTTGTTGAATTGGAGCATCATTGTGGCTTTTGAGTTTAGGGATTTATCTGCAGATGACACTAAGCAAAAAAAAAAAAAAAAAAAAAAAGCATTAGAGTCCAGATCTCTGCACCCAAAGCCAACCCAGGCAGAATTTACTCAGCTGTCTATGACATAAAAACCCACCCTTATTAAAAATCCCATCAATGATGTTTTGCTGTTTTGAATAAACTTGGGTTTATCTCCCCAACCTCAGCAATAGTCCCGTGAGGTTTGAAGGAGAGTTCTTTGGAAAAATACGTGATTTAAAGGCTTGGCCAAGCATCTGCTTCCTTCTGTTTACCTTTGTGCTCCTTTGTAGCCTTTTAGTGACTTCATGGTGTTCTCCTTTATGACTAATGGTTACCAGAGGCTGGGGGGTGTGCCACAGAGTTGAGCAGTGGGTCCTAAGCTACAGTTAGACAGCATCAAGATACCCTGGGTTCTGGTATGTTGTTGTACAGAAGGGTGGCTGTAGATAACAGCAATGAACTGCAGACTTCAAAAATCTTAAGGAAATTACTTGGAAAGTTTCTTCTTAAACATGATGGATTGAGGAAGATGTGTTTAATTTGACTTAAACATCAGACAGTGTGCCCATGTATCAGATATCACATTATCCCGTTAATGTGCACAGGTTTTGTGTTTTATTAAAGCATCAGTTAAAGTAAATTTAACTGAAAGTTAGAGAATTAATGGGAGAAGACAAAATACAAAACTAACATTACCATAGAATAAGGTCTTTGTAAATGTTTGCAAGAGAAGTGTGGAACTCCTGAGTGATAGAAATGGCTGAGTGACCTAGATTTTGAAAGAACTCAAATTGCACAGAATATTATGGTAATCAAGTGTTTTTTAAAAAATTTCCCAGATAAGTTTTACAGATGACACTTACAGATAACTCTGAACCTGCTCCTGGTTCTTTTATTCCTTTAAATGTTCGTTAAATTTTTTTTCATATACTTAAAACAAGTTCAAGATGTGGAAATAAATTAGGTTGTTGGAAAAAAACTGAAACATAAAGAATGAAAATATAAAATTCAGGAGAATTTTTAATGATCTCAAGAGAGGGATTTTTGAAGGATGATCCTAAACTGGGATAGGAACAAGGGCCATTTTGTTTACTTGGTGACAAAGAGATTTTAAATTTTGTGAGGAAAACAACCAACATCAAAGGACAGATACCTACAACATATTTTAGATGAGGTCCGATGTCCTTTCTAAATTCTGTAGTCATTGGAATGCTGTGATGGGCTTGCTGGATTCAAACCCTTCAGTCTTGGGGCTGGGAATGGCTCAGTGACAGAGCATCTGCCTGGTACGTGTGAGGCCCCAGATGTGATTCCCAGAAACACAGAAAACAAAACTCTGAGACTCTGATTCAGCAGATGTGTGTGTGTGTGTGTGTGTGTGTGTGTGTGTGTATGTATTTTGAGTCAGATT